GTTATCAAATATTTATTATTAGAATCATTAAGTGTCATATATATATATTAGTCATTTATGGTAATTTCGTAGGTTTTATTTATGGAAATAAAATAAAATAGTAATTATATCTTAGGGAACAATCATTAAGTGTCATATATATATATTAGTCATTTATGGTAATTCCGTAGGTTTTATTTATGGAAAGAAAATAGCATATTATATCATTATATCATATAGTTTGACTAACTAATGTATCTAGCAACCTATAAAAATTCAACGTGGACTTACTTATTTTTCAATTGAATCTAATTGACTACCTAATTGAATGACACCTATGCATTGGGGCCTCTTTTAATTAATACAAAATTGAGGTTAGATCTTTTCAAATGTTCCTCAATTAATATATAGGGGATATTACATAAAAAATATTAACTTCTGAACAAACTACCTTAATATCGCATAGAACCATCTCTATGGTTTTACCACAAGCGCCTGCATTATGTTTCCACAATCGAATAACTTTAACCTTGATCTTCCAGTTCTTTTTGAAAGGTTTCAAGTCGAGAACAGAACCGCTGGTCGTCATTTTTCAAAGAAATTTTTTCTTGTGCCTTATTACGTCGAATGAAATAGTAGGTGATAGTATTAATAGGTAAGAGGTCTTCCATAATTACTATTACTATTTACAATTTGCATATATCAATTTTAACATAAATTCCAAAGTTAACATATTAAGTTTTACATTTTACATATACATTACCATTAAGTATGTACTTGGTCACAAAGTAATTTCCATTTTACATATACACTTCCATAAATTAAAAGGAATGAAGTTATTATAGTTAATATATGGAAATCGTTATCAAATCGTATATTTTCCTTTTCTTCCATTACATGCGTGCGATATATATAAATATAAATATATAAACTATGTTACATGCGTTATATGCGTCTCTAATTATTTTTCCCTAGCAAATTTCAATTGAACCTAAAGCTGCCACGTCAGTTTAATTGGTATGCTAATTGATTGACAATTAAGCAAGGTTACTTTTTAATTAATACAAACTTGAGGTTACATCTTTTCAAATGTTTCTCAATTAATATATAGGGGATTACGAGTAAATATTTTTAAATTAGAAATTAGCGTACTACTTAAAGGATTCTTCCATTTGGGAGAAACTTTTTTTTAACATCCCTTCCACTGAAATTACTAATAAACGACAAAGTAGTGGGAAAGCGCCATGTCAATGAATTGACATCACTTTGCTTGTATAATCAAATTATCACCTCAACTAATCCATACTTATACAACTATATGTGCTACTTAATTTAGTAATGGAAACAAAATATGTTTGGAACACTAGGTTAATTTATTAACAATTGCATTATTTTTTCAATTCATGTTTAACGTGAATGTAATCCTTGTTTGTTTAGGATTCATGTGACATTTTTCTCTAACAACACAATTTCCCGAAAAATCCAAAAGGTTTGGTTACATGTCATATTGGGCGTATCTTAATCGAGACGGTGACATTTCAATTCCACAAAAAGGCATTAACCTCCTTGCCATGGTGCTACTCATTACTTTGTTTATAATAGGGACTCGTTACTTAATTTGTTAAAAAGGTTTCCTTAAAAGTCACTTCAATAATTTATAGACAAGAACATCGACGTTTCTCCTAATTCCATTTAGAGTTGCATGAATCTACTCTAAGTATATATACATTACGTTCCGAGAACGGCCCTAATATTAGCAAGATATATACTATACGACTAAGTGATAATCCGCGCCCTGCGCAGAGTGAGTTAATTAAAAATTTATTACGTAATACATATATATAAGAAAGTAAAATATAACAAATATAGATATAATGAATATCTTATTATAGTGTGGAGTTTTTATAATGTAAATATATTTGATTTTTTATGAAAAGTTTGTGTAATTGGATAGGTGCATTGAAGTATATTATATGAATTTTTTTTTATAAAAGTAAATAAACATTTCCTTAAAGTTATTATGAAAAACAAAAATAGGTACATAATTATTGCATTCATGATAAAACTATGATGATAATAATTAAAGCAACACAGGTAATAGAAAAATAAAACACCAAATAATGTGATAATTTTCTTCAAATCTCAACCAGTGCAAAAACCATTTCTATGGTCTCTCCACCAACAGCCAAATATTGCTTCCAAAGTCAAATGACTTTCACCTTAATATTCCATAGAGATCTCTTTGGTTTTTAATCAGAGATGTATTCAAACTTTGCATTTTGAATGATACTTTTAAATCACTTGGGTTGTAATAAAGTTGTAGGCATAGTATCGACTCCA